TTAAAAAAGGATTTTTTACACGGCACCCCTGCTCTCGACAGACGGCACCCCGGTTGGGAAACACTGCTTTAGATGACTAAAATGTTCTTCATACTAAGAAAAGAAATGGTTATTTTAAGAGCAGTTAACTGAAACGTTCTTTTTGGAACCCAGAATGGTTCTTCTATGACATCACTGTGAAAAAAAACCCATTTGACACCTTTATTTTTAAGAGTGTACATGAATTGAGAGGCTTAATCCAAGATGAACAAAAGTCTTGAAGGTTTGCAATGACATGAGAGTGAATTAATTCTGAATCATTTTTTTCGGGGGGCAACTAACCCTTTAAAATCCAGTTGTTGTAGCATCCAAAACACATCATTAGCTAGTGACCAGCTATGTTAAGTCTTTTCAGCAGGGTAGTATACTATACCATGCTAACATTAAAATACTGATAAGTATTTTGAGAAATAGCAGAGGTAAGAGTCATTGCCTAGCGGTTAGCACTAACACATTGAGTCACAATGTGAGTTTGAATTTGTCTACATATATTTAAATGCATTCATTAGAAGTATCTTTTATCCAAAGCAACTTCCAAATTGTACTATCATCTCTCTAATGTCACTGTCACACTGGCAAAAACCCCAAAACAGCAAATTATTACTAGTTTTGACTACAGTTTGAGCCTCAGCGTGTGGTATTTGTTACTTTAATAACAACCCACCACTTTTCATTCAAGCATCATTTTGCTGTTCAAAATGGACCTGTCTTTATTGAAGGACATTTCAATGAGGTTGAATTTAGTCAATTTATTGTACAGAGAATGTTTCACAGCATATAGCAAAAGCAAGAGCGTTTATCTGCAGGTCAGTCAATTCATTCTTTAAGATCGATTTTCTGCTTTAAACCAACTAGTGACAATGGGAATCCAAACCAAGAATAGCAAAAACAAAAATAGCAAAACCCCCCAAAACAACTTTCTATCACTCTCAATCAATGTTTGAGAATTTGAACAAATTTCATTCGGTAAATGTCCTAAAAAAAATTATTTAAAAACTAAACTCACAGCAATACAAAGCGATTAAACAGCTAAATTAATTACTTTATAACGACCCGACCCAGAAAACTCATTTTCGGAGGAATAATTTGTTTTCAGCGGATACCAGTTAAGCATTGATTGTGCATATTAAGGTCTACGCTTCATCCATTATGCCAGTATCAGTCACCAGCAGACAGACACACACAAACACACACATGGAGCCCTCAACTTTATCCCTTCTCATATAGTTTACTAAAAAAGCAAGCCTGTATTGAACCTACACAATGTGCTACTGTTCAGAATGAGTGTCCACAATGTCTGAGCTGCTCATTTTTTTCATAGAAAAGCATTTGCAAAAAGCACCATAAAATTGGTCCCTGCATTTCTTTGACTTCCGGAGTCAAATAATAGCTTTGTTTGATGAACAGACCAAATTGAAAATCTTTTCTCAAATCTAACTTTCATGTATTCCATTTAAAACAAACACTTTCACACATTAAATAATTTAATAACTTAAGTCAGCATTTGTAAACAGATTTTCTAATCAATTTCTTCTATGATTTGAACAAATAATCCTCATGCCACTTTAGTTAAGCCAAAAGTTGACATGTCGGTCAAACAGAGCAATGTTGAAAGTAGACACAAAAATCAGCCTACGAATGGCTTACATAGAGTTACACATTAAACTGGGTTATGAAAAAGCATTTTACTGCTGAAAAAATGACAAACAATGGCCCTCATTCATGAAATATTCATCTGTAAACTGTCATATTTAATTCAGCAACAATTTACGTAAGAATGGTTTCGCTCTGCTTGTGTTTCATGAGGCCAAGTGAAGTCAAAGTTTACTTCTCAAAGTTTATTCATCAAAACAAACTCCTGTAGCAGGGATTTTTTTTAATCTAATCCTTTCATGTGGTTGGAGGTTTGTTAGATTTCTAGAAGTCTTCACTATACAGTAAATAATATTACATTTCCATTCCAGTGACATACTGTTTACAGTGGTATTGTGTTTAGCCCTTGTGCTTAGAATAAATTGTGACTCATAGCTGAATATATTCACCATAGAGTAACTGCTGATTTGTGTCTCCATTGCTTGAACCTTCTCACTTCTACTAGCCGAAAAGTGGGCCAGCTTCCTCATAGACAACAGCCACAGTGTTTAATGAAAACCACCATAAACATCTATGAAAAATCTGCTATTAAAGTGAAAGATAACGGAGATTGATCGCCTTTGGAGTCATTCTCTTACCGACTTACTCCAAAGCACATGTTGCCCACAGCGGATCTTTGGCTGCAAGGTCATTTGTAAAACATGCCGCTCTCTACCATTTGCTCCAGAAAATTTACAAATGACATCAGGATGCCAAAATAGACCACATCAGAAGTTCTGAAGCAACTTGTGTAGAGACTCAATTTTCAAAACGATTTTTCCACTGCAAACAAACCATTTAGATCTTCAGCTGCTAGATGACAGGCTGATCAATGCTAAGCAAACAGATCCAAATGAACTTTTTGATAAAACAAACCAGGGAAAATAAATTAATCTGTGCACACGAAACTTTCAAATAAAACAGAATAAATAAACACTATGAAAACACTGTGGCAGTCTTTTATGTGAAAACTCAAAGCTGCTAAGGTGACAGATTGAAACTGTGTAACTTTAAATAGTTATGAATATGATAGTTACCGTACTTTGTTGATTTGATTAAATGAGCAATATTTGAATCCCTTTTCAAAAAATAGACATATGCACACCTAAGACGGCATGCCAGCTGAATTCTATATTAATGCATCTAATACAAAGTATAATTATGGTTATGATTTGTATTACTAGGTGAAAAGAGTTATTTATTGGTTCTACTTTGTGTCGTGCCTAGCAAAACCCTTTCTTCATGCTTAATCTTGCTATTTAAACACACCTAACAGGTTGACTGGAAACATCTGTGATGTTTACAAAAGACATCTTGAAACGCTTCTTTCAAATTCTAGCTGTCCTGCAAGAAATCCCAAAGAGAATAGGCATTCATTACCACAATCTAGCCAGATTCTCTTTTTTATTAGA